CTGATGTTGATCTGAATTGGAATTTCGTAAAGAATTTGAGATTAGTTAAAGGGTAACTATGCATTTTGTGTGTATGTGCGTGCAAACGAAACGCGAGTTTTTCGTGAAAAACGAAAACTTTATTCGACAAAATATTGACCAATTTGCTTTCGTCATCTTTCATTCCGCGTTTGAAAATGTTTCGACACTACACACACATTAGATTCATGTGTCTGTGTGCGTGTAGATTAAATAATTTTTTATGAATTTTTTTTCCCCCAGAAGCATTACAGCAAAATATAGCGGAAATGTTCCTTTTCGACTTTCCATTTTGAAATCGGCGCCGAGCAAACAATGTTAACGAGATCGTACGTTTCCTTTTCCCAAAGCAAACTTGAACAATCAGCTATCAAATTGCAGAATTACAGAGTCTGCGGTTTGAAATTTACTCACACTTCAAGACTCACATTTTTTTTTGCCAACCGAAATAAATATTACGGATACATTGGAAACACGTCGTTAATATTCTTCTCGGTGTTGTGACTAATTGCAAGAGACTTCCAAGTTGCGACTTCGAAACAAAAGAGACAGTGCGTTTCTCCATACGTTCAGTTCGCCTCCCCGCTTGCTCGTTCCTAGGATTAATCCGGTCCCAAAGTTCTCAAATTCTCGTTGCCAAGGTTCTGATACAAATTGCAGTTGCGAACCTCGTTACTTCTCGCGAAAGAGAAAAGCACACGCTCGAATTTCTCTCTGGATTTCTCCCGGAAAACGTGTTTCTGCCTCCCTTCTTTTCTCTCTCTCTCTCTCACTCTCTTTTTCTTTACTCGACTCGACTAGTTGGGAAAGATATTCATAGGGAAAACACGGCGAAGGGAACGTCTCACCCCGGAGAATTAGCGAAATGCAACGCCGCTCGGATTCAGACTTAATTGAAGACCGCGCCCTTGGTTTTCTCTTGTTTTTCAAAGGCAGCGTCGAATCGCGAAACTTTGATCTGTATGCCTTGCTGCCACGGCGCGGAGCAACGTTCTTTCTTCTCTGGGAACGCGAAGCAACATCCTGTGGCAATCTTGCGGAATGCGAAAGTTGGTCGCGCGAAACAGGGTGAAAACAACGTCGGGGTGGGAGAAGTTTAGACGAGGCGAGAATCGCGGCTATATCGATTCAGACCACGACAGTTTCAATTCGTTCTCGGGTTCGAAAAATAGAGAAGCTTATCTTGCAGCTTATCGCGATTGTCGCGGTCGCTGACGAGCTGGCGTCAAATCCGTGGGAAGCGTGTGGCTGGCAAAACGATGTTAGGTGTGGTGAGGTATCTTTTTTCTTTTTTCCTTTAATACAATCTTGATCGTGCACACCCAATCTCTTCGGAGTATTGCGCGTTTAATTGAAGTCGGCAAACTTCTAATTTATAAGAATTGTCAATTGTCAAAAGTTCTCGGAATATTGGAGCTTACGATACTTTTCACTTGTCGCCTGTTTTAATTAATTTACGAATTGAAAAATTAGGAGGGCACCTAAGGCGCTCCTAAATATATAAATTTGCATAAAAAAATTAAAAGACTGTTGTTTTCTAAATCTTTTAAACACTGAGAATGTACAATTTACAGTGAATCTCTCCTTCTTTAACGTGACAATTGACATTTAGCGCGTTAATTCGATACGTCGTGGGTTAAAAAATACGGTATCCAGCTGACACGTCGTCCCTCGATTCCAATATCGCCATGTGACATCGACTCTCGCGGAGCTCGCGTCGAGAATTCGAAAATGGTTCTCGGCTCTCATACGAAAAAAAAAAAAAAAAAAACCGAGGACGAAGGACGGAAGACCCATTTATCCACGTGTCGATCTTCGAGCGCGAGCTGCGAGGAAACCTCAATCTCTGGAAGCTCCGCCAAATTTCTCAGTCTTCCTCCACGTGTCGAATAACTTACTGTTTCACGTATGCGCAGTGAGAGTCGGAAGCGAGTTCACATATCTCTTTGATAATACTAGAAGAATTGCTAGCAAACTTTCACTTATTTACAAGAGGAAAATTGCTACGTTTCCATCAAGCGTCGTGAAGTGTTCACTTTCACTTACGAACGTAATTAATGCAGCTGTATCAAATGCAAGAACGCGTCGTTGCTCGAAATGAATAAACAACCTCGGACGATCTAAAGTAAAGATCCGACTCTTTCAAGAGTTGTTCTCGAAATTCTCTTCGAGAGAATTTTCACGCACGAAATTTGACACAATTGGACCCAATTAATCGTCGGTGTACTTGCGATTTAAAGAGAAGCCTGATGTATCCAGAATAGAAATTTCAACGCCACCGTCTGTTTTTATAGGCACTCGTCTCTCGATGGGACGAAAAAGGAAGAGGAAGAGCCGCGCCCTGACCGCGAAATGTCTTCAGCTTGTTAGGGATTTAACGAGAAGAAATGCGTCGGATGAGGATAAAACGGGCAACGAGAGCGGGTGAAAAAGCAAGAGAGGATAAAGCCAGACCCCGTACAAGCTGCTCGAGAGCTTTTCGAAGTTGAAGCTCGGGGCTCGGTAATACCGGCCCGACCGAATGGTCGAGTACTAATCCGAGTGTAATAATGGTGTACGCGCTCGCTGGCTCATCGCACGAACGCGAAACGTCTCTCTCTCTCTCTCTCTCTCTCTCTCTCTCAGCGTTCTACTGCTATTACTCCCGCGCTCCTGGCTCGTCTGCCCGCCGCTTTCAAACTCATTATACGATTTTTAATACATTGCGCACCGCCGCTCTCTCTGGCGCATCAGTTCTTTGCCCGCGCGTTGCTCAAACTGCCCTTTGGGTTTCGTTCGCCGTCTGTCACGGAATCAAAACCGCCGGCTCCTCTTTGAACGAGGAGAAAGAGTTGCAAGCAGCGGCGCGCACGTCCGCGGAACGAATTTAGAAATCAAAGGAGCATCCGTTTGTTTTACAACGTGGCGAACACGGCGCGGAGAGGAGGCTGGAAAAAACGGACGACCACCACCGCCCACCATTGCCCCCCGTCCCGATTTTCATAGGAACTCGAGTCAGACAAACAGCCTATAGAGAACCTATGGACAACGAATTGTTGGGGGGAAAAAATTGCGAGAAGTGAATTATAGAAAAGTCCTCTCCGTTCAAGACGATTGAGAAGAAAGACGATCAACAGCGCACTTTGCTAAACTGCTGTTCGGTCGATTTCTAGACGAAGCTGCCACCCGATAGCGCGGAACAAGCGGAGCGATCTCAGATGCGGAGCGAGTCATGCATCCATAAAGATATCCATCGTCCTATTACGGTGGTGCAAGCTACAACCGCGCGTTACACTGTCACGGCGGGCGACACGATCCGACGGCGCGCCGTGGAGAAAACGTGGAAAATTCGTCGCACGTCGTTAGGACGCTATTTTGCTAGCAGATGCGTGACGAGCAGCGATGATTAATCGCCGCTCGCGACGAGAACGCAAGATAGCGGCTGGATTCATTATGCATTACAGTTTGAACAACGACGAACGACAGTGAGGAATTACGTCGCGTCGCGGTATTACGCGTTCTCTGAGAAATTTATAGAATTCTCTCTCTCCCTCCTCCGCGTCGGCGGACTCTCGTTTGACTCGCGAGGAAATGACACCACAGTTTTGGCACCGCGCGTCGTCCGATATCGAATCGGTTGGTGATAGAAGGCGAGTCGAACGAAACGAAACGAAACGAAACGGGAAGAAAACGAGAGGAGGCGAGGAGAAAATAGAAAAGCGAACAACGTTTTAAGCTCTTCGTAAATCCAGCCGTTCCTTCCTTAGCAGGCGGTAATTCCATTTGCATACCAAAGACTAATCCGCGCGCGAGCCGATTGAAATGAAAATGCATGGCTCGCAGGTCGCCCGGGGATCGTTTTCTTGCGCGACCAGAACAAAGCCTTGGCGATTCATTCGTTTCGCGCGAACAAGCCAGTAGCGGAGAAAAAAAGAAACGGGAAACGGACAATCCAGGGAAGAATAAGAAGCAAATTCAAGCTTTCAAAATTCGTCCCGAAAGCTACCACGTGATCTTGAATATTTTTCAACGCCACAGAATCGTCAAAGAACGAGTGCAACTTTTAATTGAACTCTTCCTTCCAATATGTCGTGATAAGTGCATACTTGAAGAATTCTACATGTAAGAGGATCGTTCTTGTAGCGATCTCTACTTCGAAGAATTTAGATCAACGACATCTATGTTCATTAAATCGTTCCGTCGAGATGTGTATTTAATATAAACAGTAGAATATTTAAAAATAGCTATTAATTTTATTATCACGATGGAAATTTTTTTACTGACACTTATATATATTGTAGCCATAGTAGAAATTCGTTATTTAACTTCCATTATGTAATCTTCATTAAATTATTGGTAATTATATATTTTGTTATATCGATAATATTTTTACATAAACAACTAAAATTAATTACGGAGTTATTATTTATTTGTAGTATTATAATATTATCATTATAATCACTACATTCTCAGGAATGCTGCTTCACTCTTGTGGCGAATTTTGGAAAAATTCCTTCCCCCTTGCTTTCTGATTGATCTTGGCACATCCCCCCCCCCCCCGTTCTACAACTCCTCTCTTTGAGTATCGTGACAATAATTCACCAAATATAGTTTTTTCTACGTATCATCAGTTAATCAAATAATTAATTTAACAATAAATCACAGATTTAGCAAAGTTCCGTCATAATTATTCATTTTTCACATGAGTGACCCTTCGAGTCACCCTTAACAGAGTGTTTCCAGCAGGAAAGAAGAAAAATATTGTCTACCACTACCCTGTATCACGTTATTACATTTGAACTGCATTTACTTGTGTTTTCATTTTCTAATTGTCGAATGTTTCTCCGGCGAGCGACAGCCGATTGACTTGCAAAAATCTGTGCAATCTGTCGGTTTTTTAAAAATTACTGCCACTGCGCGACTCGCTCGCATAGAAACAACATTTTTTCCCGACTTGGTTCTTAAATAAATAATCGTGTTTTTTTCCTTGGATTTTGTTGCAGCGACGGCGGCCTGGCCGAGGCAGGAGCAGCCGTGCCCGATAGCCGGAGACTTTTGCATGAACGGCGGTACCTGCCTGTTTTTCGAGACCGTCGGTGAACCAGCATGCAGGTGAGCGAGCATCGATCGGTTTTGCTTCCGCGTAACTGACCGTTGTCCCGTGTTTTCAACAAACAGACGGGACAGCTCTTTCTTTCTTCCTCCCTCTACGTTTAACATTTCGTCGACGAATAACCAAAAGACCACCCATTATCGGACAGTCAGTCCAATTGTCAGATCTGTCGTTCCGTGAAGCTGCATTTACACTTGGCGACGATTTCTTTGATTCAAACGATCAGGTTGCAACCAGAAAGAATAATGAAACGAGCTACTTATTTCTGGTCGTGGACAGTCAGAAGTTCTTTCTCCTTGGGGTTGATATATTGCGACAAAGAACTTGGATCAAGCGATATACACCTGTAGTTCACCGCAACGAAGTTTCGCAAAATTTTGAAAGAGTGTTAAGAGACGACAAGTACCAAACTGCTAATTATAAAATGAGAAATACGCGTGAGAATTCAATATTCCGAAACATGCTAATTTCGCGTGGCAATCAGAGTGCAAGTATCAGTACTAAATAACTGTAAAATCTGTGACTATAAACATATAATTATCAAACGTGAAAGAGATGATGACAACAATGATATTAAACGAAGCACAAGTAACGTAAGATTCTGCCAGTAGTCGCGTGTTTATTTCAAAGATTAAGTCACGCGTGTCTCAATAATTGACAGGCTGCATTCAAGTAAAATTTCCCGATTGGCTCGTGAGGTCATTTATGATTTTATTTTTTTTTTTTTTTTATAGATCGTGCCTACATTTACCATATACTAACTGCGAGCTAATTCTAGAGCTGGTGAACGCGTTGAGAAACGCGAACGAAATTGAGAAACGCCAGGGATGTTGACTATCACGCTTCTATAAAGACAGCGAGCTAATAAACAACGGAGCCTTTTCGTTTCGCAGATTTTTTTTTCTCACAGCCGGTAGCAAAGAACGAACAAAACGAAGGCTGACCGCGTGGAATAATAGCGACGCGTATTGGTTCGCCGAGGCAAGTAGTCTCGGGGTCTCGCGTTTCCTCTCGTTTCGTTGAAATTAACGAGTCGAGTGTTTGCCAGAATCGAGGGAAATGTTGCTTTGGCCGAGTGTTTGCTTTGATATTGGCCAACTTTTTCAAACGTTCCCTCTCTCTCTCTCTCTCTCTCTCTCTCTCTCTCTCTCTCTCTCTCTCTCTCTCTCTTTCTCTTTGTCTATCTCTTCCTAGCTGTGATTTTTAACACGAAACGGAAGTAATTCAACGCGCGAGAAGAGGAAGAAGAACAGCGAGCAACGTTTCGTTCCTTGGGCGAATTGATCGGCTAGTTAATTCCGCGGATCCGTATCACCGATCATCATCCGGTTGAAAGTTTTTTAATTAAAACGTACGCGCCGGATCGATCGACTGAATCGAAGAGAGTGAGAGAGAGAGAGAGAGAGCACGAAAGAGCCACTTGGGAAATTTAATTTTCGGCAAGAACCGATAAAATCGCGCGAAGAACGGAACGTACGAGAAATTTCGGAGCGAGGTGAACGAATTCTCCGAGCAGGCGAGTAGGCGGCGTGAAACGTGGAAACGCGCGCGCCCACTCGAGAGGAATTTTTTATGAAAAACCATTCGACCGTGTTGCCTTCAATTTTTTCGTCTCGTTCGAGCGAGCTCCAACCGGATCCACCGTCCCGGAATAGAAAGATGACGCTCTCTCTCTCTCGAGTCTTCGAAGGATACTCGATAAGTGTTTGTTTAATTATTTGACGGACGAAAATTGTCAAACAGTAGAAATAATATTGTATGGAATATAAAACCGTATATACTGACTATAAATACCGTACCAACTGTGGAAACTATAATAAATATAAAATAACTAACTATAAAATGAAAAGTTCACATCGTACTTGGTGAGAATTCAGTATGCGTAAATTTCGCAGTCAAAGTGTACTACACTGACCAACTGTAGAAATTCCAGCTTCAAAAAATGAAATAACTAAAAATAAATAAACCGCAAATATATATATATATATAATAACTGAACATAAATATAAACTAGCTGCAAATAAATACAAAATAACTAACTATAAAGTGGAAAACACGATTGCATCGTGACATCGTATTTCGTGAGAATTCAATATTCCGTCGCGTAAATTTCGCGTGGCAGTCAGAGGTAATCGCGTATAGTACAATTACTATACCAACTAACTGTACAAATTATACTAACCATATATATAATATAAAAGGCAGTTGCATCGTGACATCTCCCGTATTTCGTTCGAGAATTCAGTGTTTTTCCTCCTTTCGCGTGGGAAGAAAACGCGCCAACTTGGAGCGGCAGCCGAAGCGTTAAGAGATAATCGCGAGCGAACGAGTCACGTCGACGTTGCCTCGTTCGCGTGTTCGCGGAGGCTCGAAATATTGAAACAAACGACTGCGAAACGCTTTTCCCTGGCCGCGCGTGCTCCCCCATTTCCCATCGGCGAAGACGGAGATACAAGCCGGTCGAAATTGAGTTTTGCTTCCTGTTACCCTCTTTTCACCTACGGAGCCAGGGAGAGACGGCTCGGCGAACGAGATTGGAAAGAGGTCGAAGGAGGTTTCCGCGGCGTGTTTGTTGCCGATTTCGTGCAAACTCGCCAGACACGTGTCGAGTCTACTGACCTTTCGACCACTCTTTCACGATTGAACCGTTCCTTCTTCCTCCTCTTCTTCTTCTTTTTTCTTTTTTTTTTTCTTTTTGCTTCCGTCACCCACGGTTCTCCGCCTCCCCCTTCTGCCCATCCATTAAAGGGAGCAGCTCGCCCTCGTTTCTCTTGTATTCTATTCTCCGCAGCTTTCCCCCGTTCCCGGTCGTTTCCTTCCTTTTACTCCTCGTCTCCTCGCCGAAACTCCCCGGGCGTAGCCGGAAAAAGGGGGAAGCTGTCTCCCCGTAGGCGGCGGACTTCCGCTAATCAGAGCATGTTTGCCCGCCGCGGGAATTACGCCGGTCATCCGCGTCTGCAATTTCGGTTATTTACCGCTTAGATCGCGCATTTCCCCTCCACGTTTTTATTTTTCCTTTTTCCGACCTCTCTGTTTACCCTGGCAATTCGAAACGATGGCAAATACCGTACGCAAAGACGTGGCCACTGAGACAACGTTTCCACGTTAAACGTTCCGCTTTATCTCAATCTAGTTGCAGCGAACGATCAACTTATCAGTATTTCTCGTCGTTGCGTTCGTGAAATACGAGAAATCGAAATAAAAGATCGCTCGCGTGGTATTCGCCTGTATTTTGATTTCTCTAGTTGCCGGCAGCTGGTTGTCAAACCTCGCTGAACGTTGCAAGAAATAAACTCGCGACGTTCGAAAGTCACGTACGCATGGGGGAAACCAGACACGCGCATCGTCCAAAATCCTGCCTGGTGGAAACGTTTGGGGATTCGCTGAAGTAAAAGGCGTGTAGATAAAACACATATCGGGTTAAAAACTTCGTGTTAAAAATCTCTGGGGGGAAAAAAGACGTCGTTGACGGCGGCGACAGCGACGTCTTTTTGTCGGTGAGCTTTGACGTTGATTAGCTAGGTCGTTGAATAAATTCGAGAGCTAATCCCGCGAATAAGAGCGGGATCGAGCGACGAAGAAGGCCGAGAAAAGGGGGAAAGAGGACGAAGGGAGCAAAGGGAAAACACTGTGGTCTATGGACGGGTCCCAAGCAACACCGCACTGCCATCGGTTGACGAGGGTTTATTGGCTTTATCGAGGAATCAGGTCGTCCCCGGAGGAACACGGGAAGGGGAGGGGAAAAAAAGGGAACGACTGACGGAAAGAATGGACAATGGACAAACGAGCGTACACCGTGCATTGTCTACTCGCATGCAACCAACTGGGACACAAGCAGAACACGTACACGTGCACGTACGTACGTACGTACGTATGTATTCTATTATTCGGCCCAGGCCATGGAAAATGAGTTCGCCTCGCGTGAGACCGGCCAATCCCCATAATGCGAAATTTCCCAACGAGCCGGGATCGTTCGGCAAGCGTTGTTGAAAGAATCCGACGACGATTTATGAGATTTTCTATCTTGGAGATCCGGTCGAGCGTGATTATCAACATAACGATTAATTTAATATATTTCACCTCTTGCGCTCGAACGACGTTTTTTGTTGCAACATTGTAATATTTTCTCAGTTCTCAATCAAACGAAATAGGCAAAACGAATAACAAATTTATTACTTCTCAATAATTGTCATACCGACGTGTTCAAAAAGAAAAAGAAAGCGACGGATTATTGTGTACGGTGTTCGGTCACTCGTTATGGTCCGCAATCAGTTTCCAGCGCAAGTGGTTAATATGCGTACCTTGAATGACACGTCTGCAAGCACATTCGGATCGCTGCTGCCTCTTTATTAATAAGCTTCGATGTTATTAACCTGCTGGCCGGGTATTTTGCGAACCAAACCGATGTGGCGTCGCTTATTTTCAATCGCACGTGTACGTATTTCGCACGAATGTTACACTTTCGATGGCCTCCGTACGACTGAGGAATATAAATATCCGAACTTGTCCGCCTCGCGGCTACGGACAATATTTACATTCTTGTATTTCTGAGAAATTTCGGTGTCTCGGTAATAACATACCACACGTGGCTAATCCGCGGCCAAGGATGTTGACGATGTGACGATCCACGTACTCTCTCTCTCTCTCTCTCTCTCTCTAATGTTTAACGTTTTACATAACGTAAAAAAATATAGAGCGAGTGTTTTGTCTTCTCGTGCCTGAAATTTGAAAAAGGAAATTCTTCACGCGAAATACACGGGCGTCGTCGTTTCGAGTTCGCTGAATTCGATACGCAGCCGGCTGCTGCTGCTGCTGCTGCTTGGCTGGAGCCTGGCTAATAAATCGGATCTTCGTTCGCGGAGCAATAGCGCCAGCTGCAACTCTACGTATTCCTTTCGGTTGTTCATAATAAATCACCACTTCGTATCTCGGGAATCCCCGATTTATGGATATCCAGTGACTTGTCTTTTCGCGGAATAAATTCCCCACCTTCCACCCG